GTCTGAAATAACAGTTAGTCTGTGAGTGAATTATTATTTCGAAGCTGCAGAAATAGGGTTTTACAGATTAATGATGAGAATACCCTGGACAGATAAAAAGAGTAATGAAGATGCCTTAAAAGAAACTCATGAAGAGAACTGACTGCCCACATCAGAAGGAGACAATCTACATTCTTTGGTCATGTGATGAGAAGGAACAAACTGGCATACACTGTGACAGTGGGAAAGTTGAAGGAGAAAAGATGTAGAGAGAGACCAAGATGCTGGACAGTTGGACATCATGGCATGGAAGGTCATCTGAATCAGAACTGACAGAAAGTACACAATATAGAAGGTTGTGGACAGACATGACTACCAATCTCACACAGCATGGACCATAAGAAGAGTCTGCAAAAGCACAATAGCTCATATACATATAAACCATAATATATGGTGTGTTCAGCTTCAGGCACATCAGTAGACTACACATTCTGAAATTCTTGTAATTTTCTCCACATTATCTGTAAAAGTAGCCGGCAAAATGCTGACCACATTACCCACCTAGTGGCGATTGGTCTGTAAAAATATGGGTGCTCTTCACATATGCCCGATGCGCTACAAAGGCATGAAAAGGGATCTTTACTTTTAGTCACATTTGCTTGGCAAATTGAAAACATTGAGCCATAAAAATACATGAAGCTGAAAAATTTACTAAGGAAATAAACTTTTCAGCTGCTTATGACGAGAGGAGAGATCCGTTACAACACAATGCTATTTGTGACTTTAACCGACACAATACTGATAATAACTTCTCTCACTCAAAATATACAAACATTACACATTTATTGTCCTCTCACTATCATTTACCCAAAATGATACACCAAAATGTTTATACTTTCCACTACTGATACTTTACATAAATTGATATGATGATACAAAAACCTTACATCACACCTCAGAATAGCTAAAACTGACAACAAGGCAGTAACCACTCCTTCTATGGGCAGGTTTTCTATGGGAAGGTTTTCTATATCTTTCTAATGACTCTGCTACACCTCATACTAACCATGTTAGCTATATACCTACAAGCTGCTTCTACTGCAAACTAGTAATACATAAACAAATACACAGCTAACTAGACAATGAAACATCATTTGTATACATTTTTGACAATATTTTCACAATTAAACATTAGGAAAAGTTCAACACATATACAACTGTTTAATACAACAGTATGGTTGGGGGAGGGAGGGGGTGAAAAAAAGAGGGGGGGGGGGAGAGGGGGAGAGACAGAGAGAGAGACAGACAGAGAGAGAGAAAGAGAGAGAGAGTGAGAGAGGTGGGTGGGGGAGGGGGGGGGGGCTTGTGAAAAACAGTGAGCGAGCGCTTTTTGTTTGTTGGAGTGACAGAGCAAGAGAGTGTATGCATGTGGTGTGTCTATTTTGTGTTGAGAGATATGGTCTATCTGCCTTTATCCCGGGAGGATGTTAGTGTACCCTATTTGCTACTGCCACAGACAAGCGAAGTGTTGGACCATCTTCAAACATTGTAGACTATGACACATACAGAGTGACTAGTTTAATCCATATCACAGTCTCTTCAGACAAATCCTAGCATACTGTATGTATTATATTATGAAGGATCAATAAATCAAGAAGGGTTTAATTATGCTCAATGACTATATGTCTTATTGTTCTATTAACAACTGTTTTATGATGATATTCACTGACAGGACTTCTTCTTTAAAACATGCACGTCGAACATGCAGCCTGCGGGCCGCATAGTCCTTTACCAGCATACCTGCAGCGTGCACATAAGATACATAAGCTAACAATTTTTATTCAATGACTTCAATTAGCTGTCATGTGTGGCCCTCAGGACAACACAAATATGACCCATGTGGCCATCAAGGACCCTCAGTTTGACATGCCTGCTGGACTTCTCCATCTTTACTTATTGTCAGCCATTCGCCATTAATTCTGGACCTCATTTTTTGCCAGACAAATAGTAATATTATCATAGTAAAGTAAAAAATGTAAAGATCCCTTTTCACGCCTTTCAGCGCATCGGGCATATGGGCAGAGCGTCCCATATTTTTTACAGACCAATCGGCACTAGGTGGGTAATGTGGTCAGCATTACGCCGGCCGTCTTTACTTCCCCAGGACAGCCATCCTGGTACCCATTTGAGGCTGGTGCGACCTGCGACGTCCCATACCACGATAAAAATCCACGCAGCCCGCAGTGGGTTTTGATCGCGGTTAAGACAGTGATTGAGTAAATACAACTTCCTTCTCCAGCCACAATAAACTCATTAAATGTGATTCAAGACTTATAACAACCAACTGTTCGTGTTTAATTCTAGTCCAAAAACTGTTGCTTGGTTTTTTTGATAAGCAAAGATATAGAGGGGTAAAGTGTGTATGTATGTTGTATATGTGTTTTTTGATTTTTTTGTTTTTGTTTGAATCAACATACTATCATGTTAACAAATATAGTACATAATACACAAATACCAATTTCAATGAGAATTAGCCGCTGTCTTCAGTGTCAATGGGCATCAGCTAATGCAAATATTGCTGGCCTTTTTAGTGATTAGTTTTGCAATAAAAATAAAACAGCATAATAAACATCTTTCCTTTCTGGGTCAACTGTGATCACGTATGTGTAAATAAAAACATCTTGCTCTACTTTAGCTATTTCTCTATTACACTAAGGGCAATGGTAGAGTAGTAGATACACACTTGCCTGCCAACCCAAAGGTCTATGGTTCAAATACATAGCGAGGTTGATTTGTACAATAACCTAGGCTCCACGCCTAAACCGGGAACCAGCTGTGCTGGATAAAGGTATAAGATTAAGCTTAGAGCCTCATCAAGTCTAAATCCGGCTCTTAGAAACTAGAAAGTGTCCTGGGAAGTAAATGTCCTGGGAAGTAAGTGTCCTGGGAAGTAAATGTCCTGGGAAGTAAATGTCCTGGGAAGTAAATGTCCTGGGAAGTAAATGTCCTGGGAAGTAAATGTCCTGGGAAGTAAATGTCCTGGGAAGTAAGTGTCCTGGGAAGTAAATGTCCTGGGAAGTGTCCTGGGAAGTAAATGTCCTGGGAAGTAAGTGTCCTGGGAAGTAAGTGTCCTGGGAAGTAAATGTCCTGGGAAGTAAATGTCCTGGGAAGTAAATGTCCTGGGAAGTAAATGTCCTGGGAAGTAAATGTCCTGGGAAGTAAATGTCCTGGGAAGTAAATGTCCTGGGAAGTAAGTGTCCTGGGAAGTAAGTGTCCTGGGAAGTAAATGTCCTGGGAAGTAAATGTCCTGGGAAGTAAATGTCCTGGGAAGTAAATGTCCTGGGAAGTAAATGTCCTGGGAAGTAAATGTCCTGGGAAGTAAGTGTCCTGGGAAGTAAATGTCCTGGGAAGTAAGTGTCCTGGGAAGTAAGTGTCCTGGGAAGTAAGTGTCCTGGGAAGTAAATGTCCTGGGAAGTAAATGTCCTGGGAAGTAAATGTCCTGGGAAGTAAGTGTCCTGGGAAGTAAGTGTCCTGGGAAGTAAATGTCCTGGGAAGTAAATGTCCTGGGAAGTAAATGTCCTGGGAAGTAAGTGTCCTGGGAAGTAAGTGTCCTGGGAAGTAAGTGTCCTGGGAAGTAAATGTCCTGGGAAGTAAATGTCCTGGGAAGTAAATGTCCTGGGAAGTAAGTGTCCTGGGAAGTAAATGTCCTGGGAAGTAAATGTCCTGGGAAGTAAATGTCCTGGGAAGTAAGTGTCCTGGGAAGTAAATGCACTTGGAAAAGTGTTGCTAACATCACCTCCAGAATGCTGATTGGTATATTAAAAAAAAAAAAAGATATGGATCAAACAGAAGCACTAAATAAACACAGCTGCAGAGAAGAAAGGTATAACTCCTATTTTAAAATGTTCCAGTTCTGTTAAGATTTAGATGTCTTTCTAACATAAAAAAGTTTTGATGTCACTTGCTCAGGAGCAAGATAAATTCTTTGAAGCTTGAAGCAGAACACAAGTACTTCCCATGTAAGAGACAGTAACTGATGCTACAGCAAGATGGTGCATATATCATGTACAAGCAAATTACCTGATATCAGGTGACACTCTGTTCAGTAGCAACCACTTTTCTTTCCAGTCTTAACCTTCTTTAACTGACTATTTAATCAAGTTTGAAGCCTCTGATTTATGTGACTAGTAATGATTATTTCAAATTTTTATTACCCTTTGTCGCGAAATTACAATTAAATCTTCAAAACAAATTTTCCCCATAGTGATTTTAAATAATGTACACATAAATATTATACATTGCACAATTAAATTTTATGTTGACTGTCTAGATCTTCAGATTATAAGAAGAACAATGTATTGAGAGAAGCAATGTGATTTATGTATTTCAATGGAAATATTTCAGTTTTTTTGTACCTCATATGTTGACATAAACCAGGGCTATTCAACTACGTTTACTCATGGGCTATCATTTTGAAAATGGGGATCGTCATGGGCCAATGGCACGAGCTCCACCACAGAAGGATCAATAATACAGAATAAGTGGCGATGATCCAAGGACCACTTGCTATGCTTCCACAAGTCAGATCTGGCCCGTGGGCCACCAGTCGAATAGCCCTGATGTAAACTCTGTAGTCATGAACTCCATGAGCTACCGCGAAATATTTGAAGCAACAAATTTTACAATGTATTGTCTGTGTCCACATTATTTATACACATTATACTAGTCATGGGTATGAAAGTACATGAGGCGGGAGAACTGGCGAGAGACTGAGTTTCTTTCAGGCAGACTGTGATGAGAGCGACGTTCTGCAAAGGACCTGCTACATGATGATGATGATACTAGTCAAAGTGCTTGTGTGTGTTAGCAGTTGTGGGTGTGTGCGCGCATGCACATGTGGGGCTGTCTGTGTTCACACACACAATTGTGGGCATTAGAGCTTATTCTTTGCTTTATCCTGGAATACCAACATTGCTGTAATGCTGGGGGACAGATGAGAGCCTCCATTGGGTGAATATGCATTATCTATCTTCAGTCATGTTAAAATACTGTTCACATAACTTATGGTCCCTAATGTCCCCCCAGCCTCCATTGGGTTTTGGATCTCTCAGCTTAAAGCGTGAGTCGCCGGCTATTGAAACCATGTTCGGGTATAAATGCTGGTGGTTTTCTTTTAATTTTGTCTCGGCCTGCTGGACTTTAGCCATTGGATCACAGTTCTTGGACTTTTTGTGCATTCCACTGCAAAACAAAAGGAAGCAATCATTTATTAATTCATACACAATTATTATCATTATCAAGTTATTTACTGACTGACCGACAAATTCATACACAATTATTTTCATCATCAAGTTATTTGCTGATTGATAAATTCATACACAATTATTATCATCATCAAGTTATTTGCTGACTGACAGGCAAATTCATACACAATTATTATCATCATCAAGTTATTTGCTGACTGACTGATGAATTCATTAACAATTATTATCATTATTTAGTTATCTGCTACTGGCTGACAAATTCAAACACAATTGTTATCATTATTTAGTTATCTGCTATTGGCTGACAAATTCAAACACAATTATTATCATTATTTAGTTATTTGCTGACTGACTGACGAATTCATACACAATTATTATCATTATTTAGTTATTTGCTATTGGCTGACGAATTCAAACACAATTATTATCATTATTTAGTTATTTGCTGACTGACTGATGAGTTCATACACAATTATTATCCTTATTTAGTTATTTGCTGACTGACAAGTTCATACACAATTATTATCATTATTTAGTTATTTGCTGACTGACTGACGAGTTCATACACAATTATTATCATTATTGAGTTATTTGCTACTGGCTGAGGAATTCAAACACAATTAATATCATTATTAAATTGTCTGCTGACCGACTGATGAATTCAAACACAATTATTACCATCATCAACCTGACTATGGGCATCCCCCATCTCCATATGTTGCAGTCTTAAAAAATGTGGATCAGTTTGTGTGCTCAAACCTTTCTATGCCACAACTAAACCTGTCACCATCATTGTCAATTTGAAGAGTTGGCACTTGTATTGTGTCCGTTTTCCCATTTATGGGTTTCATGGCTGCAATCTGGATTTGGGGGGTGGAGGTGTAGACTCACTGGCACTTAGTAATTTAAAAAAAAAAAATTTGCCTATTACAGAATGTTGCAGGACTAACCCTTTCATTTTTGGCTGATTTTTACTAGGCAATGTTATATTCAGTAGTTTGCCACTGCTTACTGAATGGTCAGCTCTCGATACCAATGTCATTAACAATAAAAGACTGCTACCAAATCGCCTTCAGCTGGGATCTAACCTAGCACCTCAGCTCTACGAAGTGTGCTTGCAATACCTCGGCCAAGGACGCCAACAGTGCTAAATAAGCATGCTGTCAAAGGCGGTTATTTCAGGGTTGGCTAAAATCAGACATGCTGGACCAAACGGCAGATATCACAGTCTAGATCTAAAACATATCATGGCATGCTGACTGCCCTTTTTAGGGCGACCAAAGAAGAACAGGAAAAGACTCAGAGGTGAAGGAGAAGACGTGGTTCCCATTTACAGCAGAGCTTCAATGTCTGCTCATAAGCAAATCACAGCTTCAGTAAAGCAACATTATAAAATATTAAGACCCGATTAAGACTGTTTCATTTCTCAGCGCAATACATACTTTAGTCAACTGTGATTCTATTGACATTACTTTCTATCTATTAAACAAGCTGGGGGGGGGGGGGGGGGGGACGACCCCTTGAGGCCACAAAAATATTATATGTATAATAAACAGACAATGTATAGATCGGCACTTTTAGTAGTCGATCAGCAAATCAATACACTGTCTGTCTGTTTACTACACTTTCTAGCTAGTGAAGTAAACTTCAAAGGTAAAGAATATACAGTGAAAGAGTGCCCCTTTGTGTGCTTCATATAGATGATCATGACTGTGTTCACTTGTGTGCTTCACACAGATTTGTGTTTACTTGTGTGCTTCACACAGACGATCTAGACTGTGTTTACTTGTGTGCTTCACACAGACGATCTAGACTGTGTTTACTTGTGTGTTTCACACAGATGATCAAGACTGTGTTTACTTGTGTGCTTCACACAGACGATCTAGACTGTGTTCACTTGTGTGCTTCACACAGAAGATCATGACTGTGTTCACTTGTGTGCTTCACACAGATGATCATGACTGTGCTTGTTTGAGTGCTTCATATAGGTGATCATGACTGTGTTCATTTATGTGCTTCACATACCATCATCATGACTGTGCTCATTTATGTGCTTCACATACCATCATCATGACTGTGCTCATTTATGTGCTTCACATACCATTATCATGACTGTGCTCATTTATGTGCTTCACATACCATCATCATGACTGTGCTCATTTATGTGCTTCACATACCATCATCATGACTGTGCTCATTTATGTGCTTCACATGCCATGATTATGACTGTGCTCATTTATGTGCTTTACATGCCATCATCATGACTGTGCTCATTTATGTGCTTCACATACCATCATCATGACTGTGCTCATTTATGTGCTTCACATGCCATGATCATGACTGTGCTCATTATGCTTCACATGCCATGATCATGACTGTGCTCATTTATGTGCTTCACATGCCATGATTATGACTGTGCTCATTTATGTTCTTCACATGCCATGATTATGACTGTGCTCATTTATGTTCTTCACATGCCATGATTATGACTGTGCTCATTTATGTTCTTCACATGCCATGATAATGACTGTGCTCATTTATGTTCTTCACATGCCATGATTATGACTGTGCTCATTTATGTGCTTCACATGTCATGATTATAACTGTGCTCATTTATGTGCTTCACATGCCATGATTATGACTGTGCTCATCTGCATGCTTCACATAGGTGATCAAGACTATGCTTATTTTTTTTTTAAGTGCATGAGAGCTGAAAACAAGGAAGACTCACCACTCTCCAATATGAAAAATCCGTGAAGCTTTCATGACCAACAGTCGGACTTTGTTTGGAATGCATGTCATGCTGAGATGCTGTAACGTCCAGTCCCAGTTGTAGTCATCAAACCGACAGAACTCCTGGCAAGTGTTACAAACCAGTCTTGTTAGTTATAACAATTATTGTTATGGATGTAATAAAACAATGAAGCAAATAGTAGCACAGTGGCTAAAGAAATGCATGCTGAGACAGTGGTTTGAGTTCAAGCCCCAGAAGTCATCATCAGCATGTCCTTGACAGAAAATTGCTCTCGTCACAGTATGCCTGAAAGTTTCTCTCTCTGACCAATTCTCCAGCCCTATGTGCTTCCATAGCCAATGCCTCTTCCATGTCTTGTTTTCACTTTGCCGACGTCTGCCTTTGCCTTATTTTCCTGAAATTGTTATCTCCATCACCAGCCATCCCAAGCCACCATGATGTTCACAATGGACAAACTAAACTACATAGGCTTTCAAGCCAGGATGCTGTTTGTGAGACATTTTTCCTCAACGCTCAGATTATGTAGGATGTCAGTAGTTTTGTTCTTCTTGGTCCGTGGCTTTCTATGGAATTTTTCTGTAGCTCCAATTTTTTTTTTTTTTTCATAATCTTTTTCTTCACATTCACCAGCTGTAAACTCTGGCAGAAAGTTCTGGTTGTTCATCCACTTCTGGTCTGCAGTCCTCCTATTCCAGAGCCTGAATGTTGCATGTGCATCCGTTTTACAGATCTGACTCATTTGTATGCAGACTGCTGGTTCCCTGCCTCTCAGGCAGATGCACTCCGACTTTGAAGAAAGCTCCCAATAAGTCGACTCTTATGACATGCTTTTTAGTAGGCAGTGGGTCTATTCTTGTTTTCCCTATAATAGGGTTTTTCTTAATCATTGAGTTCATGACTTACATCCATAAGCTGCCACGAGACATATGCATAACCTTAAAATTTTTACTTCAGCTTGCTTTCAGGTGTTGTGCCATAGCTTTTTCATGCTGCTTAGTCTCTGCATTGCCATAGCGAGCATTTTTTTTTTAAACTTCTTATGTGCAGATGCCATTGCTGTTCACTCCTAAGCATAAATATCAGAAGTAGCCAGGAGTAGGAGGACCATTAGGGCTCTTAGGTTGATCCTGCCTTATAACAAAATGATTAACATAAATTTTTTTTTAGCCAGATTTCATTTTAAATTTTCTAAATGTAAACCTAATTTGATAAAAGAAATAATAAGAAATGAGTTTGAAAAATGCGGATACAAACAATACATTGCACAATTTATTGGCAGGCATATTTCGCTGTATCTCATCAGGTGCGTTACTACAGAGTTACATCAACATAAAATAAAGCACAAAATTGAAAAAAAATTCAACTGACAAGCGAATAGTTTCTTCAGATACATTGTGTCTGTTTCATGGCCACCGGAAGCTCACCGTAGTCACGTGACTTAACTAGGGTAACTTCATATTTACGATAAATTCCGTCTGCTTACAAAGGAGGGGGTTGTTGATTTTTATTATTTAAATCCATTATGGGAAAACATTGATAAGAAATGAGCTCAAAAATAGGCAGACATATTCTTCTGAGAAAATTGAACATGACTAATCACTAATGGAATGCACCACTTTGCTAACAACTCTACAGCAGAACAAATACAAAGACAGAACACAGACACTGCATTTACTTTGGCACATTTTTTAATGTCCAACCACACCGAGCGATTAAATGTCATCCCCATATTGTGCTTGGAAGAAATCCAGTACGCTCTTTCAACCTGCAATTTGGAAAAAAAATGGTATTTATTATATTAACTTGCTTTGCCAAATCCATGTCAACTGGATGTAATAAATCCAAACTGCAGCCAATTGTAGTATATTCACTCATTTTCCATGTGTCCAGACTTTAGGGACACCCATTTAAAATCCTTCTTGACAGGGATTTCAACCAATGATTGCCCAGCTGGCAGGGAAGCATGCTTGCCACTGTATTACAGCAGCTACTACTATGAGTAGGTAACCATTAGTCCCTGGGGACCATGGAGTCATGCTGCTGGATTTGAGAACAGCGTCTGCTATGACTGCAAAGTCCAATGTGAGAGTGGCAGTCTCTGCCAGATAGTCCACATTAATACGTTGATACTCTATTGTGATGAGGCTGGTTTTCTCTCAGACATCTTCTCTCTATAGCTTGCTGTCTTTGGCCTCTTGCAAACTACAACAGTCTGTTTTTCTCTGTCTGCAACCACAGGGTTCAGTCTGCATCTGGTCTCTCCTAAGTGTCTGTATTTATGTTGATATCTTTCAGGTTTCATTTGCATATGTCCTTGTCACATAGCCTTGGTCTTCCTGCAGATCTTGTCCCTATTTCCAGTTCACCATACAGAAGATCCTTTGGGATGCAACTATTCTCTAGGCTAGAGACATGTTCCAACCAGTGCCAGCATCTTGCTTCAGTAGAAAGTACACTTTTGGCATTCCTGCTCTTTTGAATACACATTCATTCAAGACGTCTCACCATGATTTACCAAGAATGCATCTCATATGGCACATGTGGAAAGTATAAAGTTTTGTTTTTTTAGGAGCATACAGAGTCTATGTTTCACTGCCTTTAAGAAGTGTGATCAGGATGCAAGCTTCATTAACTTTAATTTTGGTCCTGTCCGTTAGCTTTATGATTTTTCTATTTAGTTCTGCATCTAGGGAAAGATCGTCAGTGATTCAAGAGCCTAGGCACTCGAACTCATGTACAACCAACTGCTCATGGTTAATTAAAGCAGCATGGAATTTTTAATCTGTTGTGACTAAATATCAGTAAATTTGTCACTTCAACAAACCAGGCACTAGGCTTTGCTCTGAGTTGAGTGAAATCAGGAACTGTTATCACAGCACTTTGGACATTGCCACCAGCACTCCATCTTCAGCGGCCAGCGTAGATTTCTATTCCAATCATAAGCAGTTTGATCACATGTCTGTCCTGGCTTTCATCAAGTAGTGGCCAACATCTCCTGATCACTCCCTACTGCATCATTTTCTCCAGACCATAATTATCTATTCATGCTTCTGCAATGTTCAGTTGATTACAACACCCCTTGACAACATCTCACTTGTCATGCATCCATTCATCACCTGCTAATGCAGAACCATTCAATACAGCCAATGCAATTTTTATGAAGGACAAGAAGAAGACTTGCAGACTGAGCAATGGTGCTTATACTGTGTTCACAGACACAGACTCAACAGATACTACAAAATGTTACATTACCTTTGACCCGCTGACAGCATAGTTCTGATTTTTGTCATAATTCCCCAGAACAAGCATTCGACATTCAGGACAGTCCCTGAAATAAGGATACACAATTAGATATTCCCTAAGACCGTTATCTTGTAACAAAATAACTAGCCCCGCAGGTGAGTGTGGATATGATGAGCAGAAAAAATATTTTAAAAAATGCTTCAGTGGCAATATAAAAAAAAATGAATCAGTTGGGATAGAAAAGAAAACAATGGAAGATCAGATTAAAATTCTTAATACACCGACTCTTGATAAAGCCTAGTTTAATGATAACACATTTTGAGAAAGAAGACAAAGAGGAAATAAGTAGACAAAGATAGAGGAAAAACAGGAAGATGCAGAGAAAAAAATACAATATGATGCAGTGATGTACAAAGAAACAAAGAGAGAGACAAAAGAAACAAACCGACTGAAATTAAGCTATTGTAAACTCACAAGCAAAATGTAAATACTCTAAAACAGAAGACATAATGGTATGATGAAAATCACTAATGTGGCACAAATGGAGACAGAACTAAACAAATTCCAGCAAATCAAGAGACGCTGGATGCTGGAAAAAATACACCCTTAAAACTTGTATTAAAAGTGTAACTGAAGTTTTTTTTTTCTTTCCAAAGGGAAAAAAACATTATGGAGTCATATAATTAGAGAGAGAAGTGTACCGTAGGAATGACATCAAAGGGTTGCAGGAAACAACAAAACAAATGAGGTCTTGCTGAGGGCTTGTGGTGAATTGGTTGAGGACCAATGGACCAAGATAAAGCACAGAACTGCACACAAAACTTGCAGAAAAGTAATATTTTTAACTCTTTGAGTCCCAAGGAACGCATCATACGTTCATAGGTTCCTACCTGGAAGCCCAATTAACGCATGATGTGCCGATTTTATTACTGTTTTTACTAACCCCTGAGCCTGTGATGCTAAACCCCATGGGACTCAAAGAGTCAAACAAAAACAACTAACCTCTCTCTGAGTCCTTTTAGCATATTTGTCGTAAATATAATATCCTCAGACAAGTAGTAGTCATCCTCTAAGAGCATCACGTTGCCCTCAAAATCCTTGAGAACTTGTATTCCTTCAAACACATGCTGTAGCTGCATAAAATAAGGCAGAGGTGTGAATTTATAAATATAAAATTTAAAAAAATGAAGTAAAAGGAGTCCAATAACAGGTGCTGCTGCCGGGGTGTGAAATGACGAGGCCTTCACAAATGTAACTGTTACAATACCAAGCAATGTACTGTGTTCATTGATAACTCCACATGTGACACGTTACATCTTCACTCTTTGTGTGTGCCATGTAGTTCTTAAATCGATGTATTCTGTCTCTGCTGGTGCTTTTAATCTTTCTGCACAATAATTATTAGTTGAACCTGCATACATAAACCATTTATTACTTTCAAGTAGAAACTGCCTCGGATAGAATAAGTTAAGGCCACGACTGTTTGGGACTGAAAGAGTTTAAAGTTCCCATGTGTATTTCGTGGCTGTATTAGGGGGAAAAGGAGGGGGGGGGGGGGGGTGATAAATCCACTGACCCTTAATAAAGCTGTCCTAAAAGGCAACTAACTTAGGACCTGCTGAAAGTGGACAAATGTGCAGATATTGCAGCCTAGCTCATCTCAACTAACCTTTTTCTTCATCAGCATTCAAAGCCTTGAGGTACAGCATACTGCTGCAGATATCATCCGCTCAATTTCAACTCTCTGACTGGTCTTCTCTTTCCAGTCGGCGACTCCAAGTGTTTGTAGGTCTGCCTAGATATTATTTATCATCCGTCTTCTTGGTCTGCCTTGAATTCCACTCCCAGTCGACCCTTTCATGTTTGCATTTTATGTTTTGTCTCCCAGTTAACTGCAGCTCTCCCTAAATGGCCCAGCCATTGCAGTCTATTAGCCCTCATGATTGAAGTAATTAGTGGTGATTTAAATGGATTATGAATTTTTTATTGTTGCTTCACTGTCTCCGCTGTTTGCATCTTTGATGGGTTAAACTAATACAGAAAAAATAAAAGCATTTAAGAAAATAGCAAATTAATCATCATGTTGGAAGTCTTTTACAGAATTTCACTTTTATCACGGCCCACTGAAAAAACTCCACTAACATGATTAATGAACTGAAAAGACTCTTTGCTAATTAGATTATTAAACAAAAAAATAGTATCCCACACAGATGTCACAATGGCATTCTGGATATATTAGATCAATATTTTTTTGGCTTTTAAAAACAATGTTTTCCTTTGTGAATTTGATTAATGAGGTTACAAATAACCGATGAAAAATAAAAATTTTTGGGGGGTCTATTTTGCTGTATTTCATAATGTGCATAGCAGAAATGTAAACAAAGACCCTTTTCCGCACCTTCAGGCGTATTGGACGTATATTTAGAAGTGACCTTTATTTTATAGATCAACTGGCACTAGATGGGTGATGTGGTCAACATTACACAGGCTGCTTTTACTTCCCAGGACTGTACCTGCTACCAATTCAAGGCTGGTTCGACCTGGTAGCCTACATTCTTTGGAAAAAGTCCGGCTCCATCAGGTTTTGAACCCATGAACTTCCGATCCGCAGGCAAGCGTCTATTTGCTACACCAGTGCTCTCCCCCCATCCATAATGTGATAATGCAGAAAAAAATTAACATAACCATGAAGCAAAAACAATGGTTTCTTACAGTTGAAAAGACCAACACCTACTTACTGTTCTGTTTTTATGTAACTGCTTAAAAAAATGAGTCAAGCATCATACCAACAATGCATTACTGGTGCAGAAGTGAATCTTTACTTTTTGCTTTTATGTAACTTCATTTAATAATAAATGAGCAGATAAGATTCTGATTCTACAGTTCACAGTTCAACATTTCCAAACAATGGGCAAAGCTTATGGTCTATGTCACACATAATTATTCTTATCTAAAAGAAGAGGAGGGCGCAATATTGTGCTATTTGCTGAAGACCATCTGTCTTGTGTCATCATTGCCTCACCCAGTTATACAAATCTATCTGATCATTGTGTTTCTTTCTGTGTGTCCTACTTATTAGATATTCTTTTGTAAATATTTTTCTTCCCTGATCAATAAAAGCTTCTGGGTTCTTTCCCAGTGTGTTGTCATTTGAAGCACTGTATTTTCTATATTCTTTATAATCTGATGTGGCATTCATGAAAAGTTGTGGTGGCTGTTATAACTTTACTAATCTTCTCTGTGTGTCTGAGGTGGTCAGTCTCAGTTGTAAAAAGCTACTAATTAGAGGTTTGCTGAAATTGGATGTGTTGGGCCAAAAGACACAGATATTGTAGCCTGGCTGTGCCAAACAATCTTAGAAGATTGATTTGATTTGATTTAAAAAACTGACATCACAGCACTCTGGGCATTCCCATTAGAGCTCTGTCACCATCTTCAGTAGATAGCTCCAATATTATTGGTGCTAGCAGCATTCTGATTAAACGTTCGTCTTGCCTTTCCTCTGAGCCTCGAGCATCTGCTAGAACCTCTCGCCACTCCCCCCTGCATCAATCTCACCAGACCGTGGTGATCCATCTGCTCCTCCGAACTGTACACGTTCTCCCACAAGGCATTAAACACATCTGCCTTATCACGCATTAGTATTCCACCAAGTTGTGCAGAGCCAGCCAGTCTGTCTGCCTGTTCATTTCCCAACACACCGGCTATTCCCGGTTCTATGCCTTCTTCTCTCCCTATTCTTTCGTTGTCTCCTCCTTATCTCTTTACGAACTGCTGAAAAATGTGTCAAGCGCAGAGCACTGCTCCGTAGCTCCGGCAACGATTCCTATATTAGAAGAAGAAGATAGCATAGTCTCTCTTGTTTCTGTCTCCAAAAAAATATTTACTAATACTATTTGTTATCCTCTTCTCAGGAAAACTTAGGTAGTCTGCACCTCCTCATGGCACACAGGGCAATGGCTCGCCTGGGAGATGACAGGTACCAACCAGGTCAGTTTTTTCTTGCTCCATCATGTGGCGGGCTTAGCAAGCCAACATTGGTGTAATCAACCGCTACCACACAAAAAAGAATTATAGGACCCAACGCTGTCTCTGTTAGATCACTAACAACACAAGAGGTTATTTGGTTACGAATACCAGTATAAGAGAGAAAGCTGGAACAAGACTGCCTCTGAATTATACAGACAGACAAAGAATGAAATGGTATCACCCATCAGGCGATAATACGGGCCAGACCAAACTGCATATGATATTTTTTACAGCAGAACATCTGGGAGGAAGGCGAGGGGAAGACCAAGAAAGAGATAGATAAATGGTGTAGCTGAAACCTGTAAAAAGATGAACAAGTCCATCACGAAGGCTTCCTAAGAAGTGCGAGACAAGTACAGAAAACCATAATAATGGGCTAAATACAACCTGGTAACAGATGACAAAAGAAGAAAAAGACAGATTGAAAAAAAAAAAAAGTAAAACATTAGAGCTAGCAGTTAAATCTCCTTATTTTTCATATTCACCGACTGTAAGCTCAGGTGGAAAGTTCTAGTTGTTCGTTCACATCTGGACTTTAGTCTTGCTCTAGAACTTGAGTTCTGCATGCATATTCGCTAAACCATCTGACTTATTTGGACACAGACTGTTGGTTTCTTGCCTCTCAAGCAGATGCACTCTGACTTTGAACTAGACACACCTAATTAGTCGACTTTTACAACATGCATGTTAGTGGCATTAGATTTATTCCTGACTCCACTTTAACTGGAAAAATAAAAGGGGGAAGGGAAGGGGGGGGGAGACTTCCTTTGAAGTCAAAGTCCATCTGCCTGAGATGTGAGGAACCAATAATCTGCCTACAAAGAAGCCAGATCTGTAAAACCGGTTTTTAGAAATGGATGAACAACCAAAACTTTCTGACATCCTTCACAGTTGGTGAACTCGAAGAAAAAGAAGCTATATTTCCCAGTGTGGGTTCCAGGGCCCTCTCTATCTCACTTCCGGTCAAAATGGACGCTAGGCGGGAGCACTGTCTGGAGTCGAGGCAAATTTTTTGCCTTTGCCGGATGCATTTTTGCTCCATTTGTAGACTGGATATAGTTTTGTAGCACAGCTTCTGAGTTGAATGCATGGAAAGTTTTTTCGACTGTGACCAACCTGGTGGTGTGAATTGTAGATTCAGAAAATAGCGCGATGACTGTTGTGGCAATGTTGGTGGTGCCCGTATGTGATAATAATTTAGCGCTTGGGCAACTGCTGATCTGTTGGTGACTTCTGCTACCATCAATGAAGAACTGCATTTCTAATGTCGGACTGTTTGTGTTAGCACTTTGGATAGCTACCGTATGCGTGTGTATGCTAGACATGATGAGACAGCAGTCTGTCAATCTTTCCACAAGGGACTGTGATAAACATTCTGTGTGTTTTTCGTTGGCACAGGAGCAGAGCAAAGATGGGGTGACCCGTTTGCTATGAAGCTGAAACTAAGACTACCAGGGTCCCCAATATATATATATATATATATATATATATATATATATATATATATATATATATATATATATATATATATATATATATATATATATATATATATATATATATATATATATATATATATATAATTTACTCACTGCCCCTTAACAAGTATGCTGCAAAAGTTATTGCTGAAAATGGATGTGCTGGGCTTCAGAATATAAGCAGATATCACAGCCTAGCTGTAAACTACAATACAATACGTCAACTACCTTTTAGGGCTGAAGAAGAAGAAGAAAAATTATTATATAAACCAGAGCTTGTGTGAATTTTGAGAGTGAAAGAGAAAAAAAAAAAAAAACTAGACACCACAGCTCACATAAACTTGAAGAGAAAGAAAAGAGATAGAAAAACAAGAGGACTGTTAGTTGTTCTAGTATTTTTTGCTACTGCCTGTGCCTGTTGTGGACATAGTGTGAAGCTGTTTACTGATTGCAGGTCTAAAGTGGTCATGCTGCATGTCTATAATTGACTGCATTGTCAACATTTGCTAGCTGCCATGTCAATATTAGACAATGTCTATCCTTATTCTGTCAATACAGCTGTGATTTGTTAATCAGGACAGTGTTTGCTTTGACCAGAATATGAGCTTTCTGTGATATTCATTGTG